GTTTAAAGTTTAAATAAAAAAGACCTAATTTATTAGCAGGCAGTAAACAAACAAAAATACGAAGACAATGGCAAAAGGAGTTATGTAAAGTGGAGGTGAATTTGCAACGAAATAAAAAAGTTATACCTAATAGAAGTAATAATAGCGTCTATAACAATATAGCAGTGAATTTTATATGTCACACTTTTGGAAAAATATTTGAACTTAAGGATAATGAATAAAGTTGGTTTATAATATAGTGTCTATAGTTAAGTCTGAAGGTTCCAGAACAAGAAAAAACATGTATATGTATATATAAACTGGTCAGTGTTCGTTTAGTAATGTTATTACCACAATAAGCATAAGTCGTCGATGTTCTAAAACCTTATTAATTGGATGTTGTGGGTGTAATTATTTTTTGTGGAATTTCCACTGTCGTTTCATATAAACAATGTCTGCCGGAGCATATAAAGATGGCGGTCGTTTACCCGCTATCAGCAGTTAATATCGTATTGGATATGTCGTTATTGATATTCTGAGATCGTCGAAACGTCAGTGGATGTCATTATAGCCACGCATTGCAGTGTTTTGCGAAGCTGGATCGCCGTTGCAACATAGCTGCACATTTTTACTTGGACATACAATTATCCGTCTACATACGTGGTGCGTGAAGCGATTTTCTTAAACACGAATTCAAAATGGCGGACAAATGTTAACTACTTTCTTACGTTAGTTTTGTAGTGGTTTTTTATGGCATCCCTAGAGTGACATAGAGCAGCATTACACGCTTTTATCTTTCTAATTGATGGAAAAGTTTTAATTATAAAACAATCAGATATGTCCGACAGGTCATTAAAAGAAAACGTAATGGTTCGCATGAAGAGGAAACAAAAAACGCACATAGGCCGGTCGGCGGTGAAATATTTTGGAAATGACCGAAGAATGATTCGCAAGTTTCGAAACGTTTTTGTCTAATAAGTCATGTTAAATTATGCACATCGTGAGTAGAGGCACCTGTCAAAAACTGTAACATTTAATTATTATATAAATATTTATCTGTGTAAATTATCGCTTGCGTTTTTTGCTGCAGTCAACCGGTCCAGCAGTCAGTAAAAATATTGACATTTACAATGTTAATTTTAGTTGAATAAATACGGCTCTACAATTATACCCACATGGCGGAGAAGAATTTTTTGTTGAAAGTTGGAAATAAAAATAAAGAAGTACCCTAAAGAGAATGTGTGGCAACATACCAGACGTGCCGACGAATTCACATTTGCTTTCGGCTCAAAAACCACAAAGATTCTTAAGCGAGATAGTATGGACGTATAAGGTGTATATAGCAACGCAGACAAATATTAAAAGTGTCCACTTTATCTAATCGACGATCGTGCGGAGAGGAAAGGTTGCGGCTTATACCCCAAAAATATTTTATAAATCATATATTCATAACCTTAAACACACTAATTTCATGCATGATAATATCTAGACGGAGTCTGCTTGAAAATGTGAAGGCCACTGAAGGACATGTTTACTTAACCACGCCACTGAACTGTATTTTCTTATAAAAATAACACCATTTCAGATATAAAATTCATTAGTTCACTCTTAACTACGCTGCTACCAATAAATCTGATTTGATCATAGATTAGACTAATGTCGAAATAAATCTATCAAACTTAACATTTTCATGGCTTTCTAAATCTTTATCCGACATTTTACACACAACATTTCGAAATGTACAAAAAGACACACACGTACGCAACATATTCTACCATTTTTTTCTTTTTAATCCTCGTATCGTGGTCACTGAATAAAAGACGTACTTGACCTTTTCTCAAAACGATCATTTTACAAGCGACGCAAAGAAAAAGGCGCAATTAACCCCACCCATGTGTTTATCGCAAGGAATATCACACTGCACATTTGATTAATGTGCAGGGAGACAGTTAAATCACTCCTTTTTGCAAAAACAAAACCAAAGACGTGCCAAAATGTGGTCTTTCGATACAATGTTTTTGGGTTTTATAAAAATTTACAACTAAGCGGACATTTTGAATTAGTTTTGTAAAATTCATCGAATACATTCACTTGTATTACGTTTTAATGTAAATGACATTTTTACAATACAACATCTCCCACTTTTTAATTACCTAATCTTCTTAGTTCCTCAAACAACACATATTCATTAGAAAATTATGTAAAAATTATATTAAACATACTCTGTAATGGACGAGTGATGTTATACAATCAAAAGATAATTAAATTTATACTGTGTCTGCTGGTAACCATTTTTATCCCGGTTTTAGCGTGTGATTGTATTGATGTCGTAGTTTTGATGACTACATCCCCTTTAAAAATTTATCGAAACACGATAGACCATTATGAAAAATCTTTGTAAGAAGTGTAAAGCAACTTCACGGTTTCCACTAAACCCAAAACACGTCCTTAACATAAATATAACTTTTCCTTTCCGGGTTTTTGTTCGGAACTATAAAAATTCATTGAAAACACGTAATTATCAATGAATTTTTTTGTGAAGATAGTTAAAATATTCATGAATTCTGGAAACCGCATTCAAACTTGATTAAGTAACCTTAATCATCTGTGTTACACAAAGATTTTTTTATTTATATTATCAACGATTTAAACTTGGGCTAAATTGTCCTAATCACAACAAAATAAAGAAAAAATGGTGCCCGATCCAACAATGCCGCCTTGTTTCAGAGTTTTGAAATGAAAACCCGGGTTTTTTAATGCTTCATTCAGCTCTCGGGATACTTGTCTGAAGCTTTATTTGATTCATGACATGGTCCATTCGATTTTAATCCAGTAGATCCGACCGTCTCGATCTGGTTCCTTAGGATTATTAGGACCATTACGTCCACCGGCCCCGCAAGCCAAATAGATTTGCTTAAATTGCAAAAACTGAACTAGAGTCACGTAATACTAGACAGTCTGTTCAGTTTAGCGTGGTGGAAAAAACAAAAGGTAAAAACGAGACGGTTGGGCTGAGGTCTTTACAGTTGTGCTCTTTACTTTATCGAAACTTGAGTTTAAAAAGTTGACCGAAATATTACTTATGACAAAAATTCAAGGTATACATATAAATTATATTTAAGCAGTAATTAAAACGTTATTTTCACACAAGGAATGTTTTCACATTTTGTTCCTGATTGTTGTTTCGTGTTTTATTTCCTCAAAACGATCCCTGAGTGAAACTGAAAATTTTTATTTATTTGTGAAAAAAAATAATTAAGCTTGAAGAAACGCTTTGATATCAAGATACATAAAACTAATCGATGTCTCTATTTTTTGTTAGCTTATCTACTTTGAATGCAAAGTGTTATATTACTAGTAACACTTTTAATGAGTTGCAGCATCTGCTTTAACAGGTTTAAAATATTTTAAATAATTTTTCAGTGAGAACATTTGAAGTCATCGCAAGTATTGCATAAAAATTCCTGGAACTATTTAATTAAAACTACAGACCAGTACAAATATATTTTGTGTTTCTTTTGTGTCTTTGTCACAGATCCTGTAATAAGATCTTTTACCTGGACTCGACAACCCTAGGTTGTGCACAAAAAACAAAATCAAATATATAAATAGTGACTAATAAGATTTGAGTGTTTACAATAATGGTGACTGGAGAAAAAGTCATTGTAGAAGTGGCAGCCCGAGCTGTGGTTATTGTTCCATTGTCCAATGACTATTACTAAAAACGAGGTAATTTGCGTCTTAAAATCGGTATTCAAACCTAATTCCTTTGTGTATTTTGTATGCAGCAGCAATATATTTTTGAAACAGTGCCTTAAGTATGATGGCTCTCATTAAATATTGGACGAATATAACCTATCTACCTGTTTATTTTTTGTTAGTGCTTTTATCTCTGTCGTGTTTCTCCTTGGTCCAGAATGTTCTCTCTTAGCTCCATCAGAGCTTCGTGGTAAACAACCGAGATCTCACTAAAGTTACGGACGCCCATTAGTTGAGATTTTTTATGGTTATTTTCTTAACCCTTTCGTTTTAGGATGGTACAGCCTGATGAAAGTTTTTGTTTGTATAGGTCAATAGCAGGTGTTACAAGTGCGACAAATACGCGACAATTACTCAAACAACGTAACACGCTACTGACCACAAAGACCCGAACGAACAACAAAGACTTAACCTGCAATAAATAAAAATTAACATTCAATTAATCTTGTATAAATTTTATTCAAATGTGTACCGTCTATACAAAAAGTTGATTTATAACACACCTCCTAAATCAGTTTCAGGTAATTTTATCTGTTTTCTTGCACGCAGAGTACGATTGGCGAAACGGTTTTTTGTTTTTAGTGTCTCTAGTGTACTTTACTTAGTTACCTATCGATTAGTATTAAATTTTGAACGAGTTGTATGTCGAGTTTTGTTTTAATTGTTTAGTGTGTTGGTGCTAGTGTTAAAAATATGGATTATGCGGTTCTGTGGTGACAGTTCGTCTTCTAACGCACCATTGAAATTTCCACGTCGATGTTAGTATCTCGACACGCACGAGCGTCGGTTCGAGCAATCGAAGTGTGATCGGCTTATACATAATTAGATCTAGTATTTGGGGGTGGCGTGTGACGGCGGTAGTGTTGAAACGTCAAAATCAACAATACTTTTAACACGCACTATAGGCGCGCGCAGTATTTGAGAATGCTGGAATAGCTCGAGGCATGTCTGGGATTATACTTTTACTTCTTATTGTTCCTATTTTACGTCATTCTTTTTTCGATCGTTTTATTTCCCTCCTCTGTGTTGTTCTCTGTTGTTGCCATAGGATATCTGAGTCTGTTTGATCGTCGAGTCATGCAGGTGAAACTGTTGTCGTCTTTGTCGTTCCGAGGCGGTCGGCGTGACGCCGTCCTTGTCGTCCGTCGAGATTCCCGCGATATACCTGGACAGCGGCCATGATTCCACAGTGTTCGATGCTGCCCTCGCACTCAGCTGAGTGGAATCAGCGGCGCCCAATCGGACTCCCACGTGTGACTTAAGTTCACTTTTCTTAAGTGCGTGCGAGCAAGACGGGGCGAGTTGTCGGGTGCTGTCGCTGCGGGGGCCCGGAGGCGACTCGGCTACGAACACAGCGAGCGGCCTTCGAAGCAAGCAAAGACGAACGTCGCACCGGTCAAGGCGCGTTTCGGCGAGTCCGAGAAAGACGGAGCGCCCAGCGCGCAGCCGAGATGGTCTTTACCTTCGATTGGCTTTGAGCTGCCGCAACTAACAGTCAGTAGAGTATTAGTTCGAAACACCTGTAGACGCTAGCATGTGATTGAATGTAGAATCCCGACTGATACAGCAAAAAGCATGTTGTCACAACGTGGTGGACACGAACCTGTAGGGCAGTGTGTCGTGTAGTGAGTTTTGTGGTCTTCGTAACAAAGGAACTCCATTCCCCACGCGAGGTAATTCGCTTTAGCTAAAACAATCGCACTTGGAAATTTATCCGAGCTTAATGTAACGTCCACAACACAAACAACCACGTTGTCGTCCAGACACGAATCCACCGAAACTAGTTTGTATTAAGAATCCGCACACTTAATTGGTCAGGTTATGGTGCTAGTCGTAAGCGTGCTCACTTGCACCTAGTTGTTTTCAATATTGAACGATTACAATAGTACCTGTTATCCAGAAGCCGGCAGACCTGTTCATCAACTATTGCTCACACTTGATCTTGAATGGCGACTCGGTACGCCCCTACTAGTTTACCTGGTCTGCCCTTGCACTCGTCTGTCATCTTTTGGCGCCGCTCGTCTAGCACCATGCAACAACAACCACCGAAGTCTCCTCGATAATCCTAATTCGATTAAGCCACCAATCGACTTACGCCGCCTTCGATAAGCGCCGATAGTTAAACGCGATTGGTTCTGATGCCGTACATGAATTTCAAATTAGAAGACGTGTACGTGCATACCAAACACCCGCCGATGCCGACCGACGTAAATATAAACGATAAACGTTCCGATTCTTCTGCAGATAAAGCAAAAATGAATTATCAACACCACCCATGCAGACGGAACCCCGTCAAACGTGCACGTGCCGTCGTCCCTCGCCCATTATTTTATGACATCGAAATTTTAAATGCAAATCTCGCTTACGTTATTCCATACTCAGGCGATAAATCACTCGAAGTATACGCAAATATGTGGAAACTGCGCCTGTTTCAAGTGCCGTTTTGGCATTAGCGCGTTGGTATATATGTATATACCCCCCGTGAGTACAGAACCCATTGCAGTTGTGCATATACAGTTATCCGTCGAAGTGAGGAACCGGTTGTAGCCACCCCCTCGGCCAAGTTGCGCTGAAACGGTGCTAAAGTGACGGCAGACGACTTCTCTTCTTGGGCCGGCGGCAGCAGGCCAGGGAGATTGCTGGGCTGTGGAGCGGCTTCCATATGGCCGTCAAACCAGCTCTGGCACGTGGAGGTTCCGGTTTGCTACCGTCTACCTCTACTGTTTACTGCCATGCCACCTCCTCCGGCTCCGGCGGACACCTTCCCGCCTCTAGCCGGGTTTTCTCATCTTCGACGACCGGACTTTTTTGGATCTTCCAAAATAATAGACTTGATCTAAACCGGTACTTGTAGTAAACATGAATCGGTTGTAGTACGACCAGAACGTCTTCACTCTTTGCAGCATGGCGCGCCGCCGGGACCCTGATGACCGACTTTGACGCGTTTTCCTCACATCTTCACCCTCATTCGTTCCTTTTGAATTTTGCCAATTTCTTTTTTGTTTCTTTTTTTTAGATAACTCACCAGTCGGACGAGTGCATGTCGCTCCGGGTTAGCCAAAAATTCAGCCATACAAGTGCCATATTAGCGAACGTTGATACGTAAAAAAGTGCAATCGCGTTAAGTGACTGTGATAAAAACTCGAATAGATGCCATAATGACTCGTCGTAACATGGAAGACATGCCTCTGAATTCTTCACCATCTCTCGAAGCCGACGGCAGTATGATGTCTCCTCCTCCACCGCAAGCTTCACCAGCTGATCGTTCGCCGAACCAAGAGGCTCCCGAATCGCCGGCGATGCTCGCGACGATGACACCAGTCAACGTCATCGAATTAAAGAAGGAAATGGAGGAAGAAAGTGCCATGGGGAGGGCCCCGCTTTACGCTCAAGTTAAAACCGAAGTTATTTCGTACGACAAAGACGAACTCTATGCTCAAAGTATCCAGGACAAAAACGACACACCCATAGACTTAATTTACGAAGATGGCAACAAGACCGTCATTTACACCACGGCATTTGATCAAAAGAGCCTCGAGATTTATTCGGCCGATAATGGCGGCGACATTACGATTAATAACTTAAGTGCCCATCAGATACACGGGGGGCAAATCGCGGACGGGTTGATCGACGGAAACTCAAGCACGATTACGGGGGGCGAATCGAGCGGGAGCCCCCCCGGGACAGTGTCAGTGGTACTTCAAGGGAACCAAGGACTTTTACAGTATCCCGCTCAAGCTCAAGTGCCCACGGTTCTCGTGCTCTCGGAGATGACAGAGGACGAGGGGGTGCCCGTCATTGGACTCAGGTAAGTCACTAACCCTGTCCACCTTTAATGACACCTTAAATAACCCAAACGAAACTATTTTATCCGACAACAACTTTCGACCGCAAAATGAATCATTTACCATTCGTTACCCCCTGGCGGGCGGGCACAGGTATCGCCGGCCGAACGTTCTAGTGTCTTCAAATAACAATCTCTACGCCAAATAATTAAAAATGAATAAATCAGAGACGGTTTTCACAGACAAATTAAACGATTACGACGACACTGTTGTCAAATTTACGTGGAAAATCGAAGCTGGCGTCAACTTTGATTTAAGTGTCATTAAACGCGGATTGATTGTCAAGGTCGACTAAGGTCACTGATGCGATTCTAACGTCTTCAACTCACGTCAGTTATTAGAAAATAATTAAAAAGTTGTAGCTCCTCTTCCCGCACCGACAACCTCTCAAATTCAAATTTTATGTCAGATTAAGTTGATCGCAGGAGGCGATTTCACAGCCGTCTAGCTCGAGCAATGTAAAAGAGGCAACGAGGCAACGCCATACTTTGGCTGGGCCTTACAAATATTTCAAGGTTAAATATTATAGTCTAATAACTGACTGTTGCTGCGACTACAACTAATTGTTAGTTGGTTTCTTTATTATACCGTAACGTCGGCAACGTCGGCCAATTCGGTTTACGTTGTTTAAAAAAAAATTCGAACGCCTTATATTATCTAGCGTTACTCTGTGTGGCAGCCCATATTTTAAGTAGTTGCGACATCAGTTATAGGTTCAAGAATTCAAACGTTTAACTTTCATATTCAAATGTATCCTTTTCTGTTTCATTTATGTGTTTGTAGCAAAGATACGTTTGCGCTGGATATATTTAACATGGACCAGCGATTTTTAATGTATTATTAAGAAATTTTCGTACGAAAAGCATATTAACCGTATCTTAATTACTAAGACACTAAAGTAAAAGTTGGGACGCCATTAATTTAAGTATTTGAGCAATTTTGCCAAGAGGGTTTACAATTTTCCGTACATTATGTTGTAATGGCTATTTTCTGAATCATTATACTTAGCGTGTCGACAAAAAAACAAATATAGTATAAAACGAAATTTGTTTACACTAATTAGTTATTAAATGATGCTCAAAAGCACGTTTGCGTAATTTTAATGTGACTTTAAGTCATCACTTCGACATTTCTCGGAATAGTTACGTTTCTCGAGTTTGAATCTTCATAATCTAGAATCACCATAAAGCGCAGTAAAAGTTGACAATTTAAAGCTGCCGTTGTACAATCGTATTTCCGCTGTTTTAAGCGGGTTACTTTCGACGTTTAAGGTTTTTCCAAGAACTAAAGTTACTTAATAAATATTTTACTACATGACATGAAGTCTTTCTCCAATTTAATGAGTTAGCAACACTGAATTTATTACAGAACTTTTACCACTATGACGCAAAAAGATAGAGAATCGATTAAGGCTTAGGTGTGCTTGGTTATATTTTAATCAAGTGAATTCGTTCGATAAGATCAAGTACAGAGTAATCGAAAATTAAAAGAAATTAGAGGTGGCTGCGAACAAGAAGTTGTCAACATGTGTGTGGTTGAAATTAATCACCGCCGTGTGCACGTCAACGCAACAATTAATCTTAACCTCAAAACGCGGTAACGAAATAGTGACTAGAAATGTCACTGCTCAGAGCCAAACCTAGTTCCTTTTTTTTTTCGATCGCACGCTAATTGTAAAAAATCTAACTGCCACGATTTTGTCCTGTTATAAAATTTTTGTGTGGTGTGATTTTGTGTTGAAATGATAGCTTTATTAATTATATATTTTACGTGATGATAAATTGTCTGGTCATTAGAGTTTGTCTGGTCATAACGGTACTCGAAGACCACTGGTGGCTAAATGCTTCCAGGCAGCATCAAAAAAGTTTTCTCATCGAATAGATTACAAAATTGTTGATGCAGTATATCTTGTACGAATTTGGAGGACCGAATAAGAGTGTTATTTAAACTGTCAGAAAATAACATTTTGTAGATTTATGGATACTTTTTCCGGGATCTGACGTGGGTGCTTAAAAAATAAGATGAAAATGTGAATGGACGGATCAGTTGCGCACCCATGAATATGGGTTAATGCAACGACAATGGATGTTTAGAGTCGGTCTTAATACTGTTTGCCGAGCAAAAATGTTGAATTGGAGTCAAGCTCAGATTAAGTCATAAACAGGTTTACCATACAATTAAAATCTCCATTGATATTTTTCTTGTTTGTAATAAACTAAAAGGAACGGTTTTGAATGAACAATTTATTAATAACAATCGAAAGAAATGCACGGTGTAAGTATGAAATGCGCAGAGTAATCTGCGGTTACTACACATTATGAAAACATTGAAACGCCTTCAGTCACGAACTTCGAAAAATAGCCATTCCATTTTTGGTACGTCTGCCCTTGAGCAATCATGAAGAATCTATAATATGCGGCTGTAAATTGTTAATATCCAGGCTACATCTAAAGCACACTCACTGGATTTTTCAATATGTCTGTATAACACATCTTGTCACTAAAATACTTAAGTAAACAAGTCAAGGTTCGGGCTATCAACGTTATTTCTCAATACGTTTATTGCAATTAACCACTCATTATACACCATTAACCTAATCTCCCGAGAATTGTCGCCTGAATTGAGGGTATCTGAAGCTACCGCAAAGGAAAATCCTGATATCTAAAACTACACAGACAATTAACATTTTCTTCGTTAACCGTTATTTGGCATTAAACAAATATTTGACATTTGAATGAGTGGCATTTGCGGTTTTGTTTGAGGTTGCAACCGCTGCTTAAAATTATTATCATACTATGTATGATGTATAGTAGAAGATTTTTCCTCGCGTTTTGATTAATTTTCGATGGCAGAAGTAGCATGTTATTTTATTCATCTAAAAGTAGCTTGCATCTAGCAACTCGAGGTTATAAATTTTACTTTCATTGTATACACTTTCATTTACATCGTCTGCAATAAATACCAACAAAATTAAATTCTACAAACAAAAACCTATTCAAGCTTTATAGCACGTTTAAACCAAAAGGATACGTCTGGAGCACGCGCAAACCTAAATAAAACAACATAACCTGACCCATTGGTAGCAATAAATAAAGTGTTATTATGTAGAGCAATATTATTGCTCAATAAATCAGCAATTCCAGCGAATGCAATTCTGCATATGAATACTGTGTAAAAGGTGATTTAATTGCCAATTAGGGCGACTTTTCCTTTTTTCTAAACACCGATTTTTCATAAAGACTCTAAAGTTTTCTTTTAATAACATTCGTATCGCTACTCTCTTTCTTACAAATTATTTATAGCGATTAGCATAACCTATTAGCTTAATGTGCCATTAAATATTATTAAAATATCAACAACGGTATGCCATTATTATTGTTATTAATGCGGCCTTTTAAAATTTTCAGAATTTTATTTAGAGGAATGTGTTTCTAATATGTGCATTTTCCGCTCAGTAAGTGCTCCTTTCCAATTAATGAGGATATTTTTCTGTTTTCCGTGTAACTATAGTGATAAATAACCGGTGAGAATGAAATTTACTCATTCCGAGTATTCCTGCGATAAGAAATATTTAAAACCCTAAACTACCAACACATTTTTAAGGTTAATAACCGTTTGAAGTAAATACAGCATTCGCGTTCGGCTCAATCTGCAACTTTCACACTCTTGAATCTGACTGGAAAATTTGAACGCATCAACACCAGTGTAAGTGTATATGACAATAACATTCCGTGGATGTGTAAATAATCAAGATATATTTTGATAAATTTGTTGTATAAAACCAAAAAAATAAAATGGTGGTGTAATTTTCATGCAAGTAGAGTATTGAATATCATGATATGCCTTTATTATGAGATCACGTCTTCACAATTATCATTTATGAGAACTGACAATATGATATTCTTGGCACCCGATTCAGAGATATCCGTCCGAACATGGAACAGACAATTCCCAGCTATTCACACAGAAAACGATGCACTAAGTTAGAAAATTCAAATCCAAAAATATATTATTATATTGGTTTTCGAGCAAAATTTAAATTTACTATATTAAAACAAAAACGTAAAGTGTAAGCCCGCCCACCCACCCTATCTCAATTGTGATGATTTTTTTATTCGCCGTGAACCAAACAGGCGAAGCTTAAGTGCAAAATACTTCTTTACAAGAAATTAAAAACATATTTTTGAGTATCGTTGTTCAAAGAATACTATGTATATTAAGAAAATAAGGGAAAATATTAATCCCCGCCCGCCCACCCCATCTCAATTGTGATGATTTTTTTTATTCTTAGAAACTTAAACCACGTCTAAAATAGTAATTTTTTTAAGAATATATGGATTTTACAAATGGGCCCCGCCGCTCGGCTTACGACAAATAAAAAAAATCATCAGAATTCAGACAGGGTGGGTGGGTGGGGCTTATATTTTGCGTTTTTTTGACATACATAGCCATCTTTTTACAACAAGAAACTTAAAACATGGCTAAAATGGTATATTTTTGTAAGGAAATATAAATTAAAGGGACGGAGCCTAATTGCAAAATCGATATTTCGTTGTACAAATTTTCCATTTTGAACATGTTTTAAGATTCATGTCGTGAAAAAAGTCAACACATATTAAAATCAAAAGGCAAAATGTAAGCCCGGCCACCCGCCCTATCTCAATTGTGATGATTTTTTTTATTCGTCGTGAACCAAGCATAATTGTAAAAGATTCCTTTACAAGAAATTAAAAACATATTTTTGAGTATCGTTGTTCAAAGAATACTATTTATATTAAGAAAATAACGGAAAATATTAACCCCCGCCCACCCACCCATCTCAATTGTGATGATTTTTTTTATTCTTAGAAACTTAAAACACGTTTAAAATGGTAAATTTTTTAAGAAAATATGGCTTTTGCAATCAAGCTCTGCCCCTCGGCTTACGACGAATAAAAAAAATCATCAGAATTGAGATAGGGTG